CTGTGGATTACAGGATAGTGGACACCAATCTTATGTGCTGTCATCTGACGAAAGAAGACGCCCAATGCACCGCTTTATACGACGACAGCTTCGCCAGTTGCGAGAGCATGTTCCGCAACTCAGCCCCACGTAAAAGTATCTGGGCAATCGGAATCCTTTCTCTGCTTGGTGCCGTGTTCGTGATTGTGTGGCGCCTGATCTTTAAAGAGAGAAACGTAGTCCAGCTTATCATGTTAATGCACTTAGCGGTTGGAGATGGCTTGATGGGCCTTTACCTGGTCACCTTGGGTGCCAAAGACCTGTTATGGTCGGGAAGTTACTATCTGCATGACTTTCAGTGGCGATCCGGTTTATCGTGTCAGGTCACAGGTGCAATCTCAGTGCTGTCCAGTGAGGTGTCTGTAATGTTACTGGCGCTCATCTCTGCCGACAGGCTGAAGAATATCGTTTTCCCCTACCGTAGCAGAGGGCTGACTCCCAGGAAAGCTCACATTCTGTGCGCAATCATTTGGGTCCTTGGTTTTGTCATCGCATTCCTTCCCCTCAGTGGTATTGGCTACTTTTATGACACCCTAAAGCGCCCTGCCTACTACGGAAGATCCGTGGTGTGCCTCCCTCTGCAACTGTCTAAAAGGTTTCCAGCTGGTTGGGAGTTCTCCATTGCTATCTTTGTCGTGTTAAACTTCCTCCTCTTTCTGTTCATGACGGTAGCTTATGTCGCAATCTTCCTTAAAAGTTATAACTCCAGCCGTCAGCTCGCAAGGGAAGGAACCAGACGGGAGGTGCAGGCAAGAAAGAAGAATGCAAATGCCAGAAGGGAGAGAGCATTGGCCAAAAGAGTCTTCTTCATCATCCTCACAGATTGTGCTTGTTGGATGCCGATAATCGTCATCGGCATCAAATCTTTGGTTGATAAAGATTATAGTCCCCAGGGGGATATTCCTGCCTGGATCGCTGTCTTTGTGCTGCCAATTAACTCAGCCTTGAATCCGATCATCTACACCTTATCAACCCCTCAGGTATGACAGGGACATAAATTAGTTTAATGCAATCGACGTATTCCTTCACCGCGTTAATGCATTAGTTACGGGACCTTGCACAATACTTAAAAGTGGATAGTAAAAGATAACATTGTTGGCTTTCTACTGAAAACCATATTATGGAATTAAGAAAGTCCACTGAATAGTTTTTTTTTATAAATAAAAAAATAATAGCTAGCTTAGCAATTGTTTTGATTGCAAAGTGCACACGGCTGTCACATGGAGTTTCAAAGGGAATCGTTTTCAAACAAAAACTACACGCCCCTTGAAAAATATCATAAAAAAAGTTGAGCACGAAATTTCTGAAAGCCACTTGGACAATTTCTCAATGCCCTTAAGAAGGAATTTGGAACATATCAGAACTGGATAAATGGCTGTACAATTTAATTGACTGATTCTGGCAATCGGCCTTCCAAGTATCTAAGCCGTATGATAAGCTTCATTGCTGTTTATGAAACACTACATTATATTCTCCCTTAATTTATGCAGTTTTAGTAAAATACTCGTTTTTCAATTCCCAAACAGGTTCAGGGCATATTACGACCTAAACTGAAACTTTTAACAAACCGTGTGCGCAGCTTTTTCTCTTGCTGTAAAAAGCAACAAAGTCAACAAGGTGAGCTTTAGTATTTTCCTTGATCACCCTTAACGTTATTACATAAATATAAAAGCTGGCCAAGGGTAAGGATCTGTGAAAATTTTTGACCTGATGGTTTTTGTATTGGATTTTAATCATTTTGTTGAGTTATAATTGTGTTGTGTTGCTCTTCAACCAGCAGTATACATATAGGTACCAGAGGAGTGTGAGGGACATGTGATAAGAAGCTAGGGTGGGGTGGGGGTAGCCTATGATTGAGAGGCATTCCAACCGGAAGGAGTAGAATCCTAATCACTTCTTGCCGTAAAAATTGAGATAAGGTCTAGCAGCTGTGCAAGTCAGTTTCGATATTGACTTCAACTTTAAAAAGAGAAATTGAATTTCAAAACCAGGGCAAATAAGTCCATTTTGAGGAGTTGTAAGAAAATGATGTCATAAAAGGCATCTTCAGTGGAGAGGTTTTTAATTCAGTAGTGTCCTGCTGACATTTGGTGATCGGAGGTGGTGAAGGGATGGTTTCATAGAACAATTTTGAGGAGGTATGTTATTGTTGTGATTGGACATGAAAGCTCATGTCAGTGTAACAAAAAATGATATACCTCAGGGTATTTGATGGAATAAAAAAAATTAACCTTTTATTGCATCAATGAAGAAGCTCGCTAGAAATAATAAAAACCTATCTAAGGTCACTTTTAGAGTATTCATAACATCTTAGATTATGACGAACATGTACATTTATATCCAGTTTATATGAATAGATATGCATATCTATTATAAATGTGTGTTTGTTGATTGGTTTAGATTCGGAACAAGGAGACAATGAAAGGCTGGAAATGGTGGAAATGATACAACTTGTACAAGCAGATCCAGAGCAAGGTAACTTTCAAATCGCCAGAAATGAAGATTTCTAATTCCTTGAATTTTCTCCTCTGCCCTATTTCAATCTAGCATATGACCTGATTTGCAAAATTTTCAGGAGTTGATTTAGACCGAGGTGTATCGGAGCTGATTTATTTCAATTTAAAAAACTCCGGATTAAAACCTTAGATCTGATTATTTTCCTATTTTCTTTATTTATTCTATTTATTCATCCATTCTTTTATCCTTGAATTCCTTTAAAACTAAAAATTTTGTCTTCAACGATATTGGAAGAATTTGGAAGAAGAACTCCCCATTGATGAGTTTCAAAGGAAATAAAAAAGAAAAATAAATAATCTATATTCTGTTAGATGCAGGCCAAGTCAACGAGGAAGAACAAGTGCCGCAGGCTGAAGCAGGTACTACTACAAACCATACCTAAAACTGTCTTTAGATTTGCAATTAAGTCCTTGCAATTGAAATTAAAAATATATAAATATCCTTCTTTGATCTTTAAATTCCTTTGAATTGGAAAATTTGTGCGCTCCTAACTCATCTTTTCACTCATTGAAAGTATAAAATTGTCTGCCCTTGTTTGATGTTTTAACGTAGAGTTTTCAGTAACATTTTTGTCTGTTAGTCAGTTCAAAACTTTGTTTTTTCGTAATTCACATTTTGGTTCGGCTTGTTGAATCGACGAAACTTGACGAACTGTTGAACGGAGTGAGAAAGGAGCAGTGGCCTGTATGCAAAAGAAATCTGGATAAACTTCGTCGCCTCGTGGGCAACTAGAATAGAAAAAAGATGACATCTTACTTTAGCCTAACTCAAATGTGTTGGAACATTTACAAAATAAACAATGCAACGACAGTCACCCTGAAATAAAAGCTACTCATCTGATCTTTTGTGTTAAACATTTGCAGCTCAAGAAGAGGAAGCACAATTGTTGATGGGTGGAGAAGGTGCTCATTAAAACAGTTATATTGTTGTTAGTTTGCTGGGTGTGACACATTTCACTCTCGTGAATATAACTGCTTTCAAGTTGCATAGATATCCTGGATGGTCGAAGGAAGAAAATTTAAAATTTCTTTTTCGTTTTGTTTTTTGAAAATTTGATCCATTTTGTTCTTAAAGCAGAGAAAGACCAAGAAGAGGACAACGGTGGAAATTCCCAAACGGTTTTAGTGGAAGGTGAGTCGTTTTCTGAAAGTTTATATAAAAGGACATAGCCTCAACTACTCTTTTAAAAAAATAGTAACTGACGATAATTAAGAACCTATAAGGAGTCAAGGAGACAAAACTGAGAGTACCACAAAAGTATTGGTATAGTCTTCAATCGAGAAAGGGATCTAAAGGGTCATCATCTCTCCATAGAAAGAATTGCTTGGAAAATAACTTTGTTCTTCTCTATCATGGATATGCAATTTTAATGTTATCAATATCTTCATTCAGAGCCAAGGCATTGATGGCTAATGAAGAACTTTATCTTTATCTGTATTTCAATTCCATTTCAGTTCATCCGTACAAAGGATCGCGGGTAACTGACAAAAATGTTGCGTCCCAAGCTGATGGACAAGGTAAAGTCTTCTTTACATCAAATAATTTCTTAAGTTGGTTCATAAGTAATCACTATCTCTTTATTTTTCTCTTTTTTAATACCAATGCCACCTATGTGGCTTTTTAGTGTAGTTAATTATGTTTTTACTTTTGTTTTGTTTTTTTATCCAACTATTTCTTTGCGGCTTTTTTATACCTTTAGTTCAATTTATTTTGTTTTGTCTTCCCTGGAAGCTTTTTGTGGATGCAATGTTGAATGCGGCCAAATAATTTTAAATCGTTTTGTTATTATTTTTCGCGCATCGATTCCATAGGTGACATGAATTAATGTCAATTCAGTTTCTCACAAGCCTTTTGTTGCCTAAGTATTTGATTAAATTGTCAATCCATTGGTTAAAAACAACTGACTGAAAAACGGCTCATCACGAGCAAATGTGGCCAAAAATCGAATATTTTCCAAATATCGTGGCAACGGCCAAAAAATCGATTCAGCTCATATTCTCAAGTTATTTGGGCCTTACAGTGAAAAATATCACTGCATACTTCGTTTGGCTGAATTTCAATTTATTTTCGAGAAAATCGATAATGACTGAATTCTACCAAAATGCCGCTTTAGAAGCTCAAAATTTTTCAGACGAATCTCGGAACGTCGTGCCACGAACTGAAAACACTTGGACCGATAAAAAGGACCAAATCTTGAAAAATAAAATCAAAACATATGTTGACAGCCATTTGCCTAATTGTTGATTGTTTTGTATACACAATCTAACTGAATTTATTGGACCTTCATCTAACTCGATTAAAAATAGGTCAAAAGTAACTCGTTATTTAACTATGTGCTAAAAAAAATTATCGACTGAAAATCTGGCTTTTGGAAGGTGATGTGTAGTTCTTTTCGATCTCCGAAGGATTTTTTGGGGAAATGATTCAGTGCGATTTCATTCAATTTTAAAGTTGGATAAAATGGGCTGAGTTGACGGTGCCGTCAGTTAATGAAAATGTATACATCCTCACGATTGTTTCGCATTGCACATCCAAACTGCAGCTTTTTCAACATAATATCCACTCATCCTCCATGTTGCTGTATCACAGTAGAGGATTGCAGTCCTGAAGTTGTTGCATCGCTCTCACAGTAGCGATGTAACTCGGAAGAATAGTCAACACCGCCTGATAACATTGTTTAAAAAGCGTATCTCGGGGTTTTTCTAGACCATTTCGTTGCAAAAGGAGGCTGTAATTACTTCAAGAGATCTTTGTTGAGATATAAGTCTTCAACCGAACCGCGAACCAAATGTAAGCGGAATGTTGCCGAAAAGCATCTTACCGCATTTAGAGAGACTGATTGAGAGGCATTCCAACTGGAAGGAGTAGAATCCTAATCACTTCTTGCCGTAAAAACTGAGAAAAGGTCTAGCAGCTGTGCGAGTCAGTTTCGATGTTGACTTCAACTTTAAAAAGAGAAATTGAATTTCAAAACCAGGGCAAATAAGTCCATTTTGAGGAGTTGTAAGAAAATGATGTCATAAAAGGCATCTTCAGTGGAGAGGTTTTTAATTCAGTAGTGTCCTGCTGACATTTTGTGGTCGGAGGTGGTGAAGGGATGGTTTCATAGAACAATTTTGGGGAGGTATGTTATTATTGTGATTGGACATGAAAGCTCATGTCAGTGTACCTAAAAGTGATATACTTCAGGGCATTTGATGGAATAAAAAAAATTAACATTTTATTGCATCAATGAAGAAGCTCACTAGAAATTATAAGAGCCTATCTAAGGTAACTTTTAGAGTATTCATAACATCTTAGATTATGACGAGCATGTACATTTATATCTAGTTTATATGAATAGATATGCATATCTATTATAAATGTGTGTTTGTTGATTGGTTTAGATCAGGAACAAGGAGACAATGAAAGGCTGGAAATGGTGGAAATGGTACAACTTGTAAAAAAAGATCCAGAGCAAGGTAACTTTTAAATCGCCAGAAATGAAGATTTCTAATTCCTTGAATTTTCTCCTTTGCCTTATTTCCATCTAGCACATGACCTGATTTGCAAAATTTTCATGAGTTGATTTAGACCGAGGTGTATCGGAGCTGATTTATTTCAATTTTAAAAACTCCGGATTAAAACCTTAGATTTGATTATATACTTATTTTCTTTATTTATCCTATTTATTCATCCATTCTTTTATCCTTGAATTCCTTTAAACTAAAAATTTTGTCTTTAACGATATTGGAAGAATTTGGAAGAAGAACTCCCCATTGATGAGTTTCAAAGGCAATAAAAAAGAAAAATAAATAATCTATATTCTGTTAGATGCAGGCCAAGTCAACGAGGAAGAACAAGTGCCGCAGGCTGAAGCAGGTATTACTACAAACCATACCTAAAACTGTCTTTAAATTTGCGATTAAGTCCTTGAAAATTAAAAATATATAAATATCCTTCTTTGATCTTTAAATTCCTTTGAATTGGAAAATTTATGTGCTCTTAACTGATCTTTTCACACATTGAAAGTATAAAATTGTCTGCCCTTGTTTGATGTTTAAACGTAGAGTTTTCAATAACATTTTTTGTCTGTTAGTCAGTTCAAAAATTTGTTTTTTCGTAATTCACATTTTGGTTCGGCTAGTTGAATCGACGAAACTTGACGAACTGTTGTAGGGGGTGAGAAAGGAGCAGTGGCCTGTATGAATCAGCGTGGCCGGTCACTTTATGCAAAAGAAATCTGGATAAACTTCGTCGCCTCGTGGGCAACTAGAATAGAAAAAAGATGACACCTTACTTTAGCCTAACTTAAATGTGTTGGAACATTTACAAAATAAACAATGCAACTACAGTCACCCTGAAATAAAAGCCACTCATCTGATTTGTTGTGTTAAACATTTGCAGCTCAAGAAGAGGAAGCACAATTGTTGAATGGGGGAGAAGGTGCTCATTGAAACAATTATATTGTTGTTAGTCTGCTCGGTGTGACACATTTCACTCTCATGAATATAACTGCTTTCAAGTTGCATAGATATCCTGGATGGGCGAAGAAAGAAAACATTTAAACTTTGTTTTGTTTTGTTTTGTTTTTTGAAAATTTGATCCATTTTCTCTTAAAGCAGAGAAAGACCAAGAGGAGGACAACGGTGGAAAAATGCAAACGGTTTTAATGGAAGGTGAGTCGTTTTCTGAAATTTTATAGCATAGCCTCAACTACTCTTTTAAAAAAATAGTAACTGAATAAAGAACCTATAAGGAGTCAAGGAGACAAAACTGAGAGTACAACAAAAGTATTGGTATAGTCTTCAATCGAGAAAGGGATCTAAAGGGTCATCATTTCTCCATAGAAAGAATTGCTTGGAAAATAACTTTGTTCTTCTCTGTCATGGATATGCAATTTTAATGTAACAATATCTTCATTCAGAGCCAAGGCATTGATAGCTAATGAAGAACTTTATCTTTATCTGTATTTCATTTCCATTTCAGTTCATCCGCACAAAGGATCGCGGGTAAATGACAAAAATGTTGCGTCCCAAGCTGATGGACAAGGTAAAGTCTTCTCTGCATCATATAATTTCTTAAGTCGGTTCATAAGTAATCACTATCTCTTAATTTTTCTCTCTTTTATACCAATGCCACCTATGTGGCTTTTTAGTGTAGTTAA